TGATCGACATAAACTCCAAGGAATTTAGCGGAGGTAACTTGTTCAACTGCGTTCTCGTTTATAGTAAGAGGGGAACTTTCCATAAATTGCGATAACTTCTGCCTTGATGGAATTGTCATATTTAGGGTAAGCATGTTAGCAGACAGCCATTCGCACACATTGCTCAGGTCGTGATTAAGGCGATTGTTTATTTGCTCAATATCAGTACTAGCAAGCGTCAGGCTGGTATCATCCGCGTACATTCTGCATGGGTTCCGAATGTCAGACAATGTAAATTAATCTTTCAAAATGACGTCGATTACCTCGTCCATGTTGGCTGATTATCACGCTGTCTTCCTCGCAGTTTTAAAGGATAACTGTTGGTAGTAGATATCACCATACTGATCGTCAGAGCTGTTGTGGTTTAACTTCTTTTTATTATAATTTTTGTGCAAAGGTTGATTGCACGTTTCAAATAGGGTTTCTGCGGAAGCTTCCAATTTGTAGCCTGCGTCGCAGGCTGTCTAAACCGGGGATTTTGCTGCAACACAGGCCACGGAGTTGTCGATTCCGAGTTGTCCCTTCCGATTCTGTTTTCCACTGCTCATTACAACGAATCAGTAATGTAAGACAAACGTGAAAATGGCCGTGTGAAAACCAGGAGAAGGCACGAGGAAGGAAGAGGAAGAGGAAGAGCTTGTGGGATCAGGCTGATGTGGTATTCTTTTTTAATTTGCAGGCAGCAAGAACTTGATGGCAAGATAGAAGACGCTCTAATGGGGTACATGGACGCGTTAGAACTGATGGATAGCGAACTTGAGCTCCATTTGAAGATTCTTAAGCTAGGGAAGAAAATGAATTTGCATCCATAGTTGATCTTTGCGGACGAGAGTACAGGAAAATCACCAAAGATAGTTCATGAGTGTAATTACAGAAGTGAATTTATACCAAGTCTTCTGATATCTTCACCTTATATGTTTCAAGCAGCTTAAAAATGCCTCAGGGTTCAGTGAATCTTTAAAATCTTGAAAGATTTGCTTTAGTAAATTCTGGACTGTAAGTCAAATGATAATCGCACAACTAAGTTTTGGACTTTAAAGTTCAACCCAACTTAAAAGAGATCAGGTGCCTTTAATAGTAACAGATTTTACAAGCTGAAAGACGACAAGGAGTCGGGTTTAAGGTCAAAAGCGCGCTAAAAAACTGGGTTCAGTTGAAATTTCGCAGTAAAACGTTAATTTGGTACGAATTCGTTGGCATTGTGCAAAAACAAATACAGAGTTTGAGGAAAATGTATAGAGTTTTGTCAGACGCATTTTCAAAGCAGGTTGTTTTACTTGATAAAGATCGCGAAATGCTTACAATTATAGGAAAAGGAAAGAATTCCTATTAAGGTTATTGTAAACTAAGAAATGTTGAAATCCTATCGAGCCACATAAAAAAATTAAACCTGCGAACAGGCTCCCGGTGAGCCCGAACGAAGCGAGGGAGCTCCCCTGTCCCGCCCCGATTGCTTCGCTCATTCTTCTATTTCGCGCTCGCCGAATTTTTTTTTCCGTCTTCACCGGGATCCTGTTCGCGGGCTAAAAATAATTTAAAACAGCACAATGTCCGCGAATCAGGCCAGGCAGAATCGAAAGATCGCTAGGTGCCGCGCAGATGATTTTATGTGTTTATATGTTTGCCGACGGAAAAAAGCGAAGGAACAAAAGTAAATTTTTAAAGCAATCACACTGTTCAACTCCGATCTGAGCGTTGGAAGAATTGCTTTCACAATGGATGGGGGTTGAATTAGTGATTTTTTTCACCCTGGAAATATAGTTAAATCGCGAGGAGTGGATTCCTGCAACGAAGTGTTATTACTACATGAGCTACTTACTAGCAACTTGAATAAATACGTTGAGACACTTGTACTTGTGATCTCTCCTGATTTCTATCACTTGCGCGGCTTTGGAAGAGTGCAACAGTACTTGAATGATATGGCGGCGTGCCCGCCAGTTTGCCAAAGTTGAACTCAGAGGACTAAAGTAAATTTGTTATTCTCTTTTTTTTCAAAAGGTCCTTGACTAACATCAAACAACCATCATGTAGATAGAATACTTACCGAGCTTTCTTTGGAACAGCAGAATCCTGAGCAGAACGTAAAAACATAGGAAAAGTAACTACCACTCCAACCAGCCTATCTGATTCGGCCAATATGTTGACTGTCGTACGGATTGTGTTAAAGTAAACCAATCAACACTTAAAATATTGCCGATATGTTTAATTTTGACTCCAAAATGACAGCACAAAGCACAAAGACAACACTTAACTTCATTATTACAGTACACCTTTGTTTGCCAACAAATTTTCATTTATTAGTCACCTTGTGCGGCTAACAAAAGATTTATTAATTTACACTCGCCACATGGCCTATGTGGTCGCCATCAAACACGGTCCGGCCAATGAATTCCAGAATGCACTGTAAAAAATTCAATTTTTTCCCAGCCAGGAAACTACATTTCAGAACTTTTACCCAGCAAGTTTCGTGTGGAGGAAAATTCCCAGTAAGGGTATCACTGTCTTAGTTAAATTCCCAGCCAGCTGAATTTAAGACCGAGGAGTGGATAATTTGAGGAGCGGCTCCGTTGATTACTCCTGACATTGAAATACAGCTGAACTCTACTTTCTCACGGGAAACGGAAGATAGCAAGTGGCTGAAAAAGTATATTCAAGGGAAAATGATTTGAATTCGACATAGCTGGAATTCTGTCTAGATAACCCGGCGTGTTCAAGATAGCGCGGCTATACTGCTCTCACAAACAACGTCCTCTATTGTAGACGCCAGCCACCTCTTGCCAAAAACGCGGCGGCGCTTATTCAAAGAGTGTCATTCCAAGTGAAAATATAAACCGATGGAGGCTGCATAAATCTATTTTGATTAAAACAATGACATTTTCAACAAAATTTGTTTTGTTTTGTTTTGTTTTGTTTTGCACCAGAAATGTCTTTACCAAGTTGCTGCAAAAGCAGCTCATTCCCTGACAAAGGCGCGAGCCTTCGAATCTACAGTGCATGCCAAAAGGTCGAAAAATATAACAAGCGCCGTAGTACTTTCTAGAGTAGTTAAAGTGACTAATTATGCCAAATTGAATAGTTTTGAATTAAAAGTGTTTTTGCGGGAAGGAACTGAGGCCAAATAGGATAGGATTCCGGAGCGAGTGGTTTGGGTTCCTACCCGGATGGTCAGGTTTTTTTACTGTGCTCTAAATTAAGATGTGAAAGCACGGTGGCCTCATGGTTAGTGCGCTCGTCCCCGGATCGAGCGGTCCGGGCTCGAGCCCTGGCCGGGGACATTGTGTTGTGTTCTTAATCAACGCACGTTATTCTCACAGTGCCTTTCTCTACCCAGCTGCGCACGTATAAATGGTACCGGTGAATTTCTCTACTGGGTTTTAGCCCTGAGATGGACTAGCATCTCATTCAGGGAGAGGTAGAAATACTCCTAGTCGCTTATGGCTACTTATGGAAACCGGGAAAAACTCCAGCTGTATGGACCTCTTAGATTAACTCTACTGGAGGCAAGGTTTTTTCCCTTAGTGGACATCAGACGACATTCAGTGTAAATTTCACGAAAGATTTTATTACATTACTTTATTTAACAGATCCAGTACATGTGACTCTTTTTCATAAATGCAGTTTGGATACGTGACCACGTTTGCCTTGGTAGTTTTGATTTGAAGTAAATAAGTTTTCAGCATTTAATGGTCCAATTTTGTTACCTGGTTCACAGTCCAATTTAGGTGAGATTGATCCCTGGACAATTATTTCTTATACAATTAACAAAAATTGATTTCACTGGGGTGTGTCTTGGAGGTGTTTGGGAATGTGGTCAAACACTGTCTTGAGTGTTTGATATATCTTCCCAATCGAAACTAAAATTAGGGAGAAAACGGAGAGACAAAATCGTAAAAATCTACACTAATTAAAATCAGATATCCAAACACCGCCATGGTCATGATTTCCTTTGTCTAAAATGGATGAATTATTAATGAGATCGAGAATAGAAATCGAAACTTTTTAGGCCCAGTGCTTTTTAGCGCCTTTTGAGATATAATCTTTTCAACATATATGATTCGCAATCTTCTATCGCGTTCTGCTGACGTTTGGTCGGAGCAATCGATTTTAATTGATGCAACACGTTTGGAATATACAAATCGGGTTTCATATTGTGTTTTCATTACACACTAGCTCAGGGTTAAAATTCACAAATTTATATCTAACAATCATTTCAAGAGCGGGCCTTGAATATGAGATAGTAGATAGTCAGTGATTGAAAACTGCCCCAAAGAATAAAAAATGAAAACGCCTTCAAAAAATCACGCTCACGCTTAGCATGTTTGCAGAGCATGGTGTTATTACTTACATCCTATGACGGCCCAACCAATGAAATCTCTTGAATTGTATCATCCAATAATCCAGAAAGTCAGATCAGTTAAGATTTTCTCATCGTAGGTAAAAATATCAATGTCATTAATCTTTAACTGGCTTATTGTTCCTGTTTATATGGATGTTTTTCTAAGCTTAAAGAAATATTTGGCATTCGAAAATGCAAGGGTGCAGTTTTTGATAATTTTCTCAGGTTCGTGCCTTTGGTGGTCTTGTTTTTGTTCAATTATTGCGTGTCCTGATTTACATGTTGGGTAATATATAGATCTAGCCGAGCCAAAACAAAAGTAGTGAAAAGCATTTGTATACAAGAAATATTTATACTTATTATATAAACACCAGTGAAATACCAGGTGAGCTGTCGCGCGTATACATGATATCTTCACACGTGAAAATAACATGTTATTTTACACGTAAAAATAACATGTTATTCCCACAGGTGGAAAGATTACCATTGCTATGGTTACATAATCCCTCAAAAAGTACTTAGATGTGTTGCTGTATGATCCAAACATCATCGGTTCTTCCTCTTCCTTCCTTCCTGCCGTTCATAAGTACTTTGTCAGTCGCTAGCATCTTATAAAACTGATTTGCATACATTTTGTCATTAATCCTAATAGCCCTTTTCACGGTTACCTTTGCTCATTTGCATTACAATAAAATCTAGCATGTATGTGAGGCAAATTCGAGCTTTTTTGTATGTAGTCTTAGCCCTAAATTGCCTCGCATCCACGTTGGATTACATTGTAAAGCAAATGAGAAAAATTGACCGCGAAAAGGGCTATTGCTATTAAAAAGAAAGCACATTCGACGTACACCTCAGATCCGTTCAGATTCTCAGCGATCCATATTGGTTTCCAAAGCTGTTCTTATTTTTGCGGCGTGCCTCGTGCTCTTCGCTGCAGTCCATTTGAGCAGTACAATGCTGGTACAGAGAAGTGTTCGGAAGGGCAGGCGCCAAACCAAAGTAAGAACATAAATCATATCTAGTGTACATTTTGTTAAACACAAGGATACAAACGACCACCGCAATCTGTTTTGAAGAAAACTATATGCCAGTCTATGCGTTCTTTTGGAAGCGAAATATCAGTCCTGGGCGTGGAGAACAGTGGGAGAAATATGCATAAACGAAAAAAAATTTTTGAGACACATTGTTGTGTCATCAAGAAATGCACTTTACTTTCTCAGTGCCTCTTTCGCCCAACTTGGTAGCATTGACGCAGCACATGTAATTATCCACATCGATCAGTTTCAATGGAACAGGTTTTTAAAGCAAGCATTTTATTCCAGCGAAAGAGGGAGACTCATGGTCGTGTCCTCAAGGAATGCACTTTAATTATGTCAGTGCCTCTTTCGCGCAACTTGGAAGCGTTGACGTGGCACATATAATATCCACATCGATCAGTTAAACTGGAACAGGTTTTTAAAGCAAGCATCTAATTCCAGCGAAAGCGGGCAGAATTGCTGATTTTATTTACAATGTCGTGAGCAACGATTAATTATGTATGAAGTGTTTTTTCTTACGGGACTTGATTTGGCCATGGCAACCATATAGTGAGGGTTTTGTTTTTCCAAACTAGCGTTTTTCTCTTTGCAATGACAGTTTCGAACTTTCCCTTACAAATGTTACATTTTCAAATCATTTTAAAAATCTCTCTTTTACGAACTTCAACCTCAACTTCAACTTAATTTATTGTGCACTAGTTAGTATTATAAATGTAGAAAGAAAAATATATATTTTTTAAAATATGGTTAGCGGATGACTAAAAAGGTATGAGCGTTGTAACCAGAGTAGCTATTGGCTTGAGAGCTGGTTACCACCATATTAAGCTAAATGCGGTAGAACAATTAAAAGAACATCACAAAAAATACGTAACTGAAAAAACATTACTGAAAATACATTACTGAAAATACAGTACTGAAAATAAACTACTGAAATACATCACTAAAAATACATTACTGAAAAAGCATTACTGAAAACACATTACTGAAAATACAGTACTGAAAACACCTTCCTAAAACACATTATAATTACTGAAAATACATTACCTAAATTACATATTACTCAAAATACATTACTGAAAATACATCACTGGGAGTACATTACTGAAAATATATTACTGAAAATACATTACTGAAAATACATTACCGAAAATACATTACTGAAAATACATTACTGAAAATGCATTACTGAAAATACTGAAAACACCTTCCTGAAACACATTACCTAAAAAACATTACTTAAAATACATGTTACTCAAAATACATTACTGAAAATATATTACTCAAAATACATTACTGAAAATACTTTACTGAAAATACATTACTGAAAATACATTGCTGAAAATATATTACTGAAAATAAACTACTGAAAATACATCACTAACAATACATTAATGAAAATACACTATTGAAAATACATTACTGAAAATACATTACTGAAAACACATTGCTGAAAATACATTACTGTAAATAAATGACTGTAAATACATTACTGAAAATACATTGCTGAAAATATATTACTGAAAATAAACTACTGAAATACATCATTAAAAATACATTACGGAAAATACATTACTGAAAGTATAGTACTGAAAACACCTTTCTAAATCACATTACCAAAAATACATTACTTAAAATACATATTACGGAAAATACATTACAGAAAATATATCACTGGGAATACATTACTGAAAATATGTTACTGAAAATACATATTTTTCATTAGTTTCCCAATGAAATGACGTTGAGATTAGTAGAAGGAATATGTGGGAAAAAAGGCTCTTTACTTAAGTTTGGAAATGCAGGGATAAAAAATAATATAATATGAACATTTTCATAATATCTGAATAATCAGTCATACATTTTGGGTGTCATCTTTATTTCTAACCCTTCGATGTTTCTTCCTCTTTACCCTCGTATACTTCAGTAAACGATCAACTTACTTACTTACTTAGTCCATGTTTGATAAATTTCAGTGGTCAGTTACGCAGAAATCCATACAGAAATTGATTAGTGTGATCTGTTATAAATTGTTCTTCCTATGATTACTAGCCACCCCCCTCCCCCCAAAAGAAACTTCTTAGATCAAAACAACCTGTCTTAAGACATTCAATGAACTTTTTTTTTTATAAAAGATGAGCTTTAACATGAGGATAAGGTTTTGTTTGTTGCTTAGAAACGAGCTTTCTTTTTCTTTTAAGGGCTGCTTTCACATAGGAAATCTATTCCCGGTGGGTGAACTGCGTCCTTAGCGAGGATTGCACCATGTACTGTGTTTGCAATGGGTACGGGCCCCAGACCGTACTTTCCCACGTGTCCGCCTGTCCGGGCACCTAGCTGTAAAGCTGGCGAAGAGTTGTACCATTATTACGAGAAGAATGAATATGGATGCTCGTGCGAAAGGACTGCTTGTCGCAAACTTAATTAGCAGTGAAAAGAAACAAGATTTAATGACTGGTATATAGAGGGAAATAAAAAACTTTAACAAACCCGAGAATCTACCTTTTTGGGCAAAACGAAGTTGAGGAATGCATTCATTCTTAATTTTGACTGAACTCTGTTTGTCCGAGGGGCCTGTGGTGGATGGCGACCCGAACGATTTCACTGCAATTTGAAATCGGTTAATTTAGAGGACGTCCCACTCTGAAATGCCTTAGCTAAAAACTTAAAGGTTGTTGTTTTTAAAAGAGAGGAATAATTCATTTACTTGCTGTAGGAATTAAAATACTCCAAAGGTGCTTTGTTACAGACAAGAAACTGTTGTGTTGTCTATGGGCAAGAATGGTGTACATTTTACTGGTCCAGGGAGGGGGGAGGGGGGATTTTGTCCAGGTTTATTCGACGGTCATGAAAAAGAATCACAGATCCCCCAACGATGAAAGCTTACCTCAGAAAAGATCCCCTGTGCGAAGTCTGTTTTGTCAAATTATAAGAAGATTTGAAGCCCCACCGTTCGTGTGATCCCCCATCTTTTACGTCCGAGAATTAGTTTGCTTTTTTGAGACGACTTGGACAGTCAAAGAAAGACACTTTAAATAAGGAATGTGAAACTATATATATGTGCAAATAATCATGTTTTGAGTGGTATCTTTATTTCCAACTCTTAGATGTTTCCAACTCTTTACCCGTATAGGTGAATCTTTTCGGACGTCATTGTTTACATTT